GCTAAAGGGGGTGGGAGACAGCGAGAGGCAGGCGCCTCCTGCCCTGGCCCCCGACAGTTGGCCGGTGTGAAAGGGTGGAAACCGGGGACGTCCAAGAGTGACGAGGAGCCTTACGTCCATGGAGAGGCCCAAGTGCGGCCCCTGCGCCTCCGTGGCGAGCTCTCCCGCTGCTTTAGGGCAGCAGCAGGGAGACACTGGAGGGGAAATGTGGGAATCTGGGGGCCCGAGCCTCAGGCACAGGTGGTGACCACGGGGGCCAGGGTCACGGGGGGCGCGGAGGACGCAGAAGGCGCCACGCCCTTCTCCGCCTTCTTCTCCTTTTGCTTGAGGTGGATCTTGGCGTGGCGCTTGCGCTCGTCGCTGCGCGCGAACTTGCGCCCGCAGAACTCGCAGGCAAAGGGCTTCTCGCCCGTATGCGTGCGGATGTGAGTGGTGAGGTGGTCGCTGCGGCTGAAGCTCCGCATGCAGATCCGGCACTGGAAGGGCTTGTGGCCCGTGTGGATGCGCAGGTGCCGCGTCAGCTCGTCCGAGCGGCTGAAACGGCGGTCGCAGCCCTCCGCCGGACACGCGTGGGGCCGCTCGTGGAGTGGGGTCTTGCTGGGTCGGTTGGGGTACTTGCGGGGCCGGATGGGCTTGAGTGTGAGCGGCGGCTGCGGCAGGCTGCCGAAGCCTGGGTGGGTCTGCTTGTCTTTGAATGCCTTGATGGTCTCCAGGGGGGTGATAGGGGGCGGGTTGACTCGGATGGGGTCCATGCCCTGGAAGGGCTTGTGCTCCGGAATAGAGCCCATGTCGCTGGGGTGGTGGTAGAGATTGTAGTCAGGAATCATGGGGAAGAGATTGCTGTCCAAGGCCGGCTTGGCCGATTGATAATCCTGGGGGGAATAGGCGAGCCCAGGGTTGCCCTGGGGGTCGTGGAAAGACACAGGCTCTGAGTAGAGATCGCTGCAGTTAGAATAGGGGGGTAGCGCCGGGTACATGGCCTCCACGTCGCCCTGAGGTGGCTGTACCATGCTGGCCGTGGAGGTCTGCGTGCTGAGTGCCCCTGAGGCCGGGGGCACCCCCAAGATGCCGGCGCTCATGAGGCTAATGATGTTGTCCTGGCACCAGTTAGAAGGGGAGTCGAAGGCGAACTTTCCCAAGTAGGTCACGGTCTTGTTGCCAGGAGCTGGCTGAAAGGAGCCCGAATAAGAGAGTTCCGGGTTGGGCTTCTCGTTGGTCAGGCCGATGTCCATCACATTCTCTGCGGAGAGCGGAGGAGAGAGGGGAGGGGTGAGTGAAGCCCGGCCGGCTCCAGGGCCGGGGCGCCCAGGTCCTGGCCCAGGTGTGGAGAGTGCAGCCGGGTGGAGTGCGCAGCGCGTGGGGTAAGAGGAAAGCTGCGCCCGGCGCAAAGCGGGCGGTGCCGCGCTCCCGGGCGCAACCTGGATACAGCAAAATACTACGGATC